TCCTCGGAGAGGACGAGGTGGGGGTTTGCCGTGTCTGGATCCAGAGTCACGTTTGCTGGGGGGAAGGAAAGCAGGAGAGAAGAACACCAGCATGTCAGTGGGAAGGTGATGGACGTTTCTCTCCACCTACATCCTGTTTTTTTTCCCCAGGGATGAAATCTTGGCCTGACCAAAGCCGTTCGGTAAAGTCTTCCTCCATGAAGATCCATGCAAAGGCTCTAACGATTCGCGCTATTTTTAATTGTGATCAAGGGGGAAGAGGAATTCATCTTGCCAACCCACCAGGAATCTCTGAATTCCCTTCTTTTGCTGTCTTTTTTCACTTGGGTCCCCCTCGTCACCCCGGTGTACCTCCAGTGTCCTGAGACTTACCCCATTGCACATCCAGTTCAACTGGGAGACTCTCTGGAAGGAGAGAGGAGGAGAGAAGTGCCGTTAGTTTGTTTGTGGGGGAGGAGGGTTGCGTTGGAAATGGGTAAATAAGAGGAAAACTGCACTTTTCTCCTCGTAAAACAAGCGACATCACCAAGCGAACAAGTCCAGCTCATGGCTAGATGGACCTTCAGACCCAACATGACCAACTTTAAGAGGATATTTCTCCAATTCCGAGCTGACTGCTCTAATTGGAGATCAGAGGAGGGAACGGGACGGTTATCTGAACATGGGAACAGCCTCCAGGAAGCAGCTCATTCAGGGCTTATCTACCCAAACACCACCATCCACCTGCAACCTGTTGACTTTGCCCGTTGAGTTGACTTTGCACGTTGACTTTGCTGTTACCTACAGCCCGTTCGGTTTAACTGGGACCGGAATCAAGACTTTGACTAATTTGACTCATTTCCTTCGTGCGGCTAAAAAGGGAGAGACTCGCTCTGGTCCTCCTCATCACTCAAGCATCCAGACCCGTGTGCAAATACGCCTGGGGACACAGTCACCCTCCCTCTTCCAGCTCCAGCCCCAGACTGGAGGTTATTGAGTAACTCATCGTTAGCATTCCTCAGCCGCCGGTAGTTTTAGATTTTCCCTTTCCTTTGTACCTTTGAATCTCCTCAGGGCTTCCTTCAGAACGATGTTTTTCTGAGATAATTCCTTGAGTCTCTTTTCCACTCTGGGAAACGTCTCTGTCAGTTGCTGGAAAGTCCTTGCTTCACACCTGGAAGGAGAAGACTTTTGTATTCCTTCCTTGCCGAGCAAGCCGTGTAGAAACCCCGCTTAGAAAAGCTGTCGGGTGAGCTCATTTCTACCCAAGCATCAGGTTGGGTCAGTTGAGACATCGCTGGGCATCTCAGTGGTCCCAATATCCCTATGGAGGACAAACACTTGCTCTGGACTTCCTCGATGGTGGATGTTGGCTTCCTCCAGCCAAATGGAGAAGGTGGTGGGGTCGTGGCCTCACCCCAGAGCCATCTCCTCCCTGGCTTCTTCCTCACCCCAAGCACAGGGGACCCTGGTGGAGAGGACAACCCCTCCTGCTCCCCCATTCCTGTCCACTTTGTGACACTGTGCTGGGGACAACCATCCCCTCCAGAAAGGGAGAGACACATACCTGGCCAAGGCACTCCTGGCGTCCTAAAGAAGAGAGAAGATGAGAATTAAACATTGAGCCATCTTCAGGCCCGTTTATCTCTCTCAGCTCCCTCAGCTGTTGTTTGCAAACTCCCTTTGCTTGGTTTGGATTTTCTTCTGGCAGCACAGTGCAAGATCAGGGACCTCTTGTGCTCGTGCAGTGGCTCGTTTGATCCCTGGCTAGAAGAAATGGTCAAATATGGCTGGTGGGATGTCGTATCCACTTCCAAACGCTGCTTCTGCTTGAGTCCTGCCTGATGTGGTCTCTTGGGGAGGGAAAGCGTGGTCCTACACTGGGGTGGCCTCATCCTGGACTTAAGTTTATTGGCTTTGTTTATTGGCTCTTGCCACAGCCACGCACCACGTGCGTCCATCTCCCTCGCTTTGCCCGAGGTTTGGAGGGAAACAGTTGGTGGACACTTCCAAGATGCTGAACGACTAATTCTGGGGTCTTCCTTCTGATGGGTTGGGTACGACATAGCCCTTCTCATGGGTTGGGTATGACATCACCTTTCTCATGGGTTGGGTATGACATAGCATAGCTCATTGATGTTGATATACAACTTCTTCATTAAATGAGCATCTACAACTACTCAACATGTCAAGGCAAAGAGATTGGGGAGAGGAGGAAGAGGCCATCACCTCAACTGCACGCTCGGAACGTTGCAAACTCCGTCACCCAACCCCTCGCTCTTACCTGCAGGGATTTATTCTCCGGCTGCGGGCTCATCCCTTCCAGCTCCCAAATGAGGTTGCCCAGGTGGGAGATCTCCTCGGAGATCTTCCTGTCGTCCTCCGTCTGGGTCTGCACTATCTGCTTCTCCATGTCCTCCAGCCACATCAGGAGGCGACGTTCCTGCTCATCCTGGAACTGGTGGAGCTGCTTAAACACCGACATGATTTTCCACCTCTCGGCTCTCGTCTGCTGCTGCGAGGAAGAGACAAGGAGGGGTGAAAACAGAAGAAATGCAAGACCTACCAAACAAAGAGGAGCAAGGGTTGGTCTTTGGCCCCATGGCCAGTCTAAGTCCATAGCACCCAGTTCCAGGTCCCTTTTGAGCTTTACGTGACGTCATACCCCACGGAGTCATAAAATCCTTCTGGATTTTTTAGAGGGTCGTTATTATTTTTTGGCTTGGGAAACACCAGGGCAGCATCGCTTCACATTTTCCCCGACATCCTGGAGGAGACCAGGAGTCAGGCGCATTCCATAGGACGAATCCTTTTCGGGAGAGGGTTTTGAGGACACTGGGGTGAAAGGGGAATTCCGAGACGGTGACATCCTGCGGAGGCTGTTGGAATCAGCCCCCGGCACGTGCAATTCCCCAAAACTCCCAAGTGTTGGCGTTGAGGGCAGTAGATGGGTGGGACGGGACCGAATCCAGGCCAAGGGACAGCACGTTTCCTGGTGTTTTCCTTCCATCCCCATTTTATTTAGCAGGAAAGCCACCACTTTGTCCCCTCTCACCTTCTTTTCCTCCTCCTGACTGCAAATTCTGGTGCTAATCCAACATCTTTTAACCTGCAGAAGACATCTCCACCCGTTACATCAGCAGTGGGTACCTACCAGACACTTCTGGCTCCTCTTCTCCCCAGTCATTTTTAATCCTTGGAGCCTTTCTCTTTCATCCTTGAGGCTCTTCAGTCTGCCTTGGATTTGCTCCTGGGCACAAAAAAAAAAATAAAATTTAATCTGGAAGTTGTTGGGGAGAGGGATGCTCCAATGTTGTTGTGTTCGAGCACCTCCAGAACTTGGAAATATTGAAATATTCTTTACTCTGTGGCCTCTCCTCAGCCTCAGACCTTTTCTACAAAGCTTCTTGTGAATGAAGAGTCAATTAAAGGCAGTAATTAATAATTGAGCCTCATTTACACCCCTATTCAGCCTCATTTACACCACTATTCAGCCTCATTTACACCACTATTCAGGTCCTTCCCAGTTTTTTCTCCCAGTGGACCCGTGGCCACTGATTTTCTGCCTTCACCACAATCCGTTCTGCCTCGGTTGCCTCATTTTACCCCCTCGTGAGCGATAAATCCATTTTTTATTTCTTTTTTCCCTCTGCATCAGGTCCCTCAAACTGCTGCAACTTCTCATCATTTGCAGAATCAGTGTTTTTGCCCAAACTTTGCCCTTTCAGCTCTTTCTGCAGACCAAGAAACAGCGAATAATGTCCCCAGAGTTTATTTTTTAGGAGGAGAAGATCTGCATCTTAGAAATGCCTTTTTTTTCTTTTTTTTTCTTCTTTTCTTTTTTTTTCTACTTTATTTTCTTTTTTTTCTTTTTTTTTTTCTATTTTCTTTTGTTCTTTTTGCTTTTCTTTTTCTCTTTTTTTTTTTTTTATAACTCCTAGAAGACCTTCCCACCACAAACACCAACCAACGTTTGCGGCACGTGTCCCGCCCCGACCCCCTCTTATTTTTCATCAGCTCGTTTTCTCCCTCCTGCCCTTCACTTCTTCTCCCCCCCATATCGCGCCGTGCTTACGGCGTGACTGATGTCACATCTCACCTCCCCTTTCCCAGTCATCTCTCCCCCCTGTGGGCAGGACCAAATGTCACCGAGCTTCCTCCGCACAAGCACCGACTCCTCCTCCTCACCCTATTCTTCCCCAAGAGAATTAAAAATTCCACCACCCCCCTCCGCCTCCAGCCCCGGCATCATCGCGGTCATCCTGAGATTCCTCCGGGGAGAGGTTTACAGCGGAAAGGACAACTCATCCAGCATTTCCAGTCCAATTCTTGCACAAAAATTAGCAGCCAGGGCCCTGTTTTGTGCACAGGCGAGCAAAGGTGGGGTCCAACTCCGCTAATTTGGGGTATTCTCTACGAGACACCGGTGTCGGCTTCCTCCGAGGTCCCCGGAAGTGACAGGAGATAAAGCGAAGGGATCCGAGCTGACAAGGTCACCCTTGAGAAGCTCAAATTGAAACCCTACTTTCAGGAAAATCAAGTTTTAATCAATCAAAATCCCTAAGAGTGGATTTTGCCAGTGGGCTGGGTCTGACCCAGCACCTTGAAGTCTTTGCTTGATCCCTACGTTCCCCCAAGCCGAGCTGAGCCCCTCACCGTGCATCTGGGCGCCCGCAGATCGGGGTGGGGGCATAACATCCAGGCTGCAGCCAACGTGGCGATGCAAAGTCAACCCCGGCTGGATGATCTACCAGCTCAGCCCAACCCCCTTCATCCCAAATTTTGGGAAATCCTACAAGACACCCCTCCCCATATCCTTGGGAAGGTGGAGAAGACCCCGGCTGGTGGACCTCAGCCTCTGACGGGCCAAAAAACCCCACAAAACCAAACCCCAAACCCAACAAACCATTAGAGCGAAGCGCTGCGCCGCGATTTCTTACTTTGCATTCCTGGGCGGCTTCTTCGATGGGGGCGACGGCGTGAGCGCGGTGGGCGTGGGACCGGTCGCACACCACGCAGATGGCCGTCCGGTCCTCCTGGCAGAAGAGCTTGAGGGGTTCCTGATGCTTCGGGCACAGGTTTCCCGCTCCGGCTCCGTGCCCCGTCTTCGAGCTTAACCTCTTGGCGATCTCCGCCAAGTTCCTCAACTCACGGTTGGGTCTAAATTTCCTTTTCTGGGCGATTCCTCGGCACTGGGGGCAGGAGAACCTACGGTCCGATTTTCCCGAGCATCGCGTGATGCAGTCCCGGCAGAAGCTGTGTCCGCAGTTGATGGACACGGGGTCTCGGAAATAATCCAGGCAGATGGAGCAAGAGGCTTCTTTCTGCAGACTCTCCAGCGGGTCGCACTCGGCCATGGCTGGAAAAGAATGACACGATTACTTTCGCTTCATTGAGTTGGGTTTTTTTTTTTAGGGAGTTTCCTTCTTGATTGACCTCGGCTGTCGGAGCGGGGAGGTCTTGTTTGAAGAGCACAGCCCAAGGAAGGAGGGGCGGAGAAAGGGGAATTTCGGGCTGTTTTCTTGTGCGAAACGCCGTTTTGCAACACCCCTCCCCGAAACCTGAGTCATTCCAAAAAGGCGTTTCAAGGTCTTCAGAAGTTGGCTGCTGAGGAGAGGAGAAGAGAAAGAAGTTCCTCATCCTGACCCGTGACCTCCACGTCCCGAGATAACGAGGTGACGGTTGGGGGCGT